TTTTCAAATCTAGTTATTAATTCATCATCTACCTTGGAACTTCCAAATCTCTCTGAAACAATATGAATATTTCAATATAAAATTGACAAAATTTGAAAATTTCACAAAAACATACTTATAAAAATTTAGTAATGTCAAGTGATTAAAAAATTCTAATTATAAATCTAAAAAATTTCTTATCACATGAAATATATAATTCACAACTTACTTATTAATTTATCATAATCAATTCCAGTATCATTTTTACTCGTAACATTCCACGGTGTTACAACATCTTCTTCGTCGTCAGCTCCATTTATGGACAATGCTTCGATTTCTACAGTTTCTGCAGTCATTGTCTATTAAAATTAATTAATACTTTATACGGCGAATGTTTGTAAAATGCCGCATCTGCACAGTTAACACGTTGTTAAAGAAGACGTATACTCAGCACTGCTGTCACCAGAAGACAGAACTTTTTAGGTTATGATCTTTCTGTCCGAAAGTATAAAAATCACAAAAATGCGTATTATTTTAAACAAAATAAACTGTGAAATTAAATATAATATATTTATATCGAAAACAGTACCTCATAAGAATAATCATTGTAATACGGAAGGTTTGGAAATTCAACTAGCAATTGATTCTAGTAGTTAAATTCACTAAATGACTAAAGATGGCACTAGAAACTTAATTTTCATATTTGATCAAAATATTAAAAGTATAATAAAATAATTGTCTAAATAATTAAGTTGTATAGGTATATAGTATACAATAATATATAACAATTGGAACAATTCAAATATACGATAATAATAAACAATTATAATCATAAGTAACAAATTAAATATCACAATTTTCATATATTATTTTCCCATCCGTATAAATATTTGAAACGATCAATAATTATAATATTGTAATTTAACTATTTAATTTATTACTTGCTGTACTATTTCCCAAGTATTGTTATATTAAACGCTACGTTTTTCTTTTTTTGCAAATAGTATTCTTTAACCTCATGATAATATTCTTCCGGTAAAATAAGTAATACACCACCAGTATATCTTTCAGTTATCTCAATGCACGTGAGATACATTTCAGATGTAGTTTTCTATCACTTATATCTGACCCAAATTTAAATACTCTTTTTTATGAGTTGATATTCAATACATGTGACGTTAGAAACCTATCGCTTATATATAGACATATATATATATATAAGTTACATATATATATAAGTTACAAGAGAATTTTGTAGTATAGTAGAAAACAAAGTTTAGTAGACGTATTTTGACTTGATTGCATTCAAAATGTTGGTATTTCTTTATATTTATAGTGTAATCACTATGTACGATGCGATTGGTGAGCTACACTATATTCTACGTAAAATAGCGATTAATATTATTGCAAAAGAAAAAAGCTTTAATAATTCTTTTTTTTAAGCAACTGATTCGTCAGTTTCTAAAATTGTTGGTGGTTCGGCTGCAGAAGAAGGACAATTTCCACATCAGGCTTCTCTTCGTATTAAAAAAAAACACTTCTGCGGAGGTTCCATTTTAAATAAACGATGGATCCTTACCGCGGCTCATTGTCTTTCTGGGTAAGTTACGTGAAATATTCATAATATTCATAATAAAGAGAAAATTCTACTAATAGCGCATTCTTTTATTAAAATGAAAGAACTTCATGAATGAACCAACATAGAAATATTATTTAATTTATAATTATATCATTCACTAAATGAAAATAGATTGGATGCTAGCCGTATAGCTATTGTATTAGGAACCAATACCTTAGACAAAGGTGGTGACCTGTACCAAGCAAATATGACAATAGTTCACGAAGAATATAATCCAAGAAAAATAAAAAATGATATCGGATTAATTAAAGTTGATAAGGACATCGAATTTACCGACAAAATAAAACCAATTAACTTACCGACAGAGAATTATCAAAAAATTGATAGTTATGTTACATTATCGGGTTGGGGTAGAACAAGTGTAAGTATATATTATACTATAGTAATTTTATAATTTAAAAAATATACATTTGTACAAAAAAGTCATCTATGTATATTATAATACCGACACATTTTAGTATCCTGGAAATTCACCGAACGAACTTCAACACATCAAATTAAAAGTAATTGATCAAAAAAAGTGTACTACAATGGTAATAATTGCTGGAATTCCCGTTTCCGACACGAACATTTGTACCTTAAATCAATATGGAGAAGGTGCTTGCCATGTATGTACTTTTGAATTTTTTTGGTATAATACTATTAAAAAAACAATTAATAAATATTTAAAATAATATTTACTAATAATACATATGTACTCGATAATGTACAGGGTGATTCTGGTGGTCCTCTTATCGACGGAGATGAACAAGTCGGAGTTGTTTCTTGGGGTATTCCATGTGCAAAAAATCGACCGGATGTTTTTACTCGTGTATTCAGTTATCTAGATTGGATAAAAAATCATATTAAAGAAGATGAAGGTCAAACATTTAAATAATACAATTATATACAGCAAAAAATAAATATACAAAATAAATTAACAAAGATTATTAAGCAACGGAAAATAAAAATGATAAAAAATATGTTCATTATACTTAAGTAATGTATATAATGACAAATAAATAAAAATTTTGAATTTAATCTGTAATGAATAATCTTTAAATGAATTAAATTTGAATTTAATGAGTGATATAAATAATTTCAATAGATAACAAGTTAATACTCCGCTGTATTTCGAAGAGTAAACATCGAGCTCTCCTATTCTGTCTCCACATTATCGATAATATACAACAGCCTCTTTCGACATAACATTTTATAATACTCTTTACATTTCATTATTATTACTTTTTTTATTATAATAAGTTCAACTTTTGAAATTTACTACTAGGTAGAGCTTCGATCAGCACAAAATTTTACTTGAGATTTTGTTTCTCCTTTAAACGTGAACCAAATTCCCTACGCGTTTTAGCACGACAACACTGGTCGTGTCTCGTGGCAATAAGTGATAACCAAAATGAATTTAACGTTTAAATATTTATCTTTTCTCTGTATTTTCGCTTTTGCGAATGCCGGTGGACCAACTCTAGTATTGCTTGACAATCTTGCAATTAAAGAAACACATTCCATATTTTTCAGAACGTTACAAGGTATGTGAATAGACTTATTTTTTTATCATTGACAGTTATGACCAATTTTTCTATTATCTTCTATATGAAAGAAATTTAAATAATATCTATAAAAAAAATTTTACATTTATAATAAAATGCATTTTTTCGATAATTTGATCTATTCGATAATTTATAATTACAGATGGTGGATATAGTTTAATATTTAAATTAGCTGATGATGCTAATTTACAACTTTCAAAGTATGGAGAATATCTATATCAACATTTAATTATATTCGCACCATCCATAGAAGAATTTGGTGGTTCTTTAAGCGTAGATGCTATTACAGATTTTATCGACGGAGGTGGAAATGTATTGGTTGCTGGATCTTCACAATCAGGAGATGCATTACGTGAATTGGCATCAGAATGTGGTTTTGAAATTGATGAAGAAGGGGCTTCTGTTATTGATCATATGAATTATGATGTTTCTGATAGTGGTTATCATACTATGATAGTAGCTAATCCAACTAATTTAATTGATGCTTCCGTTATTGTAGGAAGTAAAACAATTCCTCCATTATTATATGAAGGAACAGGATTAATAGCAGATGCTAATAATCCTTTATTACTTCGTTTATTAACTGCAGCTAATTCTGCTTATTCTTATAATCCGAATAATCCAATTAAAGAATATCCCCATGCTGTTGGTAAAAATACTTTATTAATTGGAGCTCTGCAAGCCAGGAACAATGCTAGAGTTTTATTTTCTGGTTCGCTCTTCTTCTTTAGTGACGAAGCATTTACGAAATCAGTTCAAAAAATACAAGGTAATACAAATTTTTACATACATGCACTAAAATATTTATTCGAATATAAAATAAAATTGTATATTTAGGTGATCAAAAATATGAAAAATCAGGAAATGAAGCAGTGGCTAAAGCTATTACTCAATGGGTCTTTAAAGAAAACGGTGTAATACGAGTCTCTGCTGTTCACCATCACAAAGTTGGAGAAACACAGCCTCCTCCAGCCTATACAGTAAAAGATGATGTTGTGTATTCCATTGATGTAGAAAAACTGTCTGGTGATAAATGGGTTCCTTATGAAACAAATGACCTACAACTAGAATTTGTGCGGATTGATCCGTTCGTTCGCATGACTATGAAACCAACTGGCAAAGGGCACTATGAAGCAAGATTTAAGATTCCTGATGTATATGGAGTATATCAATTTAAAGTAGATTATACTCGTATGGGTTTGACGCACTTATATAGTACAACTCAGGTGTCTGTTCGTCCTTTACAGCACACGCAATATGAACGATTTATTCCAAGTGCATTCCCATACTATGTCAGTGCTTTTTCAATGATGGGAGGTGTATTCCTATTTTCTTTAGTATTTTTGCATTATCGGGAAGATATAAAAACTAAGTCTGAATAACTTAATTACAAAATAATCGAAGTTCAATAAGACACTTTACATTACATTGAAGTAAAATAAACTGTTATAGATATTTTTTACTGTATTATAATTGTATTGTAAAAGAACTATCATTTTTTACACATACTTTATGTAAATTATAATATCTAATGTTATTCTTATAAATATTGAAAAGTTTTGTGAATCAAACTTAAAATGTTGTAAAATAGATCATATTAATGAAATGAACAAAGTTATTAAAGTAACATACATTTTAATATATGGGCACTAATATGCAAAACCTCTTCTTTTGATGCAACGTGAAATATTAGTTAAATTCATTACACTTGTATCATTGATATTGCGAATAAAAAAAATGGCACTGAACTGATGTTTTTAAAATTACTACTCAAAATAATATACATATATAATAATAATACGCTCCGAATATAAAATAAAATTAAATAATATATAAAATATAAATTTAAAACTCAAAATTATAAATAATTCAAATTCAATTGAAGTTAAGTTAATAACTTAATATGAGACGTTAGTAATGTTATTCATACTAATCAGAGTAAAGTTTAAAAAGTGACAAATTTTTTTATAAACATAATTATTAAAAATTAAGTTTTTTGAAAATGATTGTGTCTGTTTGCGTAAAATTGCATGCTCGTACAATTTATAACATCGAAGTCTTCAATTAACTTCAGCAGTGCACTTCGAATTTTAACGAATTTAAAGTGTGATTGGCCAAATTAAAAAAAAACCAAAGTATCGGTTATCAACCATCATTATATTTAATAATAAAATTATGTACATATAAAAATTTAGATGACCAAAATTTTTTTTATAAATATTCCATAAACATCATTGTGTGATTGCTTACCATATCTTACCAGTGAATACTGTATCAAATTCTTTTACATATAAAGAGCAATACAATTAAGTTACGAAAAATCGAAGATCCTTTTTCTTTGTAAATTACGTTATATACGAAGTATAAGTTTTCATAATTTTCTTATTAATTTATAATAGTTTGTTTCTACTATCTTAAAACCATCATAATGCAATCAGAAGAAAATAAACGTAAGGGAGATTTTTTACATCATACAAATAGCCCTGAAAAAATAAGAAAAGTAGGCCAGACTAGTAGCAGATTTGTAGATACGTTAATAGGACAATGGTCGAAGCATACAGGAATGCAGATTTCTTCAATGCAAGTATGTTCGATTCTGGAAGATTTACTTTTTTAACTAAAATTATTCTCATTACAATTAACAAATTCAATTTTTAGGTAAAAGATTATAAATCAAGTATAGATGAAACAGAACAAACAAACAATCAAGATCTCAAAATACAAATTTTGCAAAAAAAATTACAAGAAGCAGAAGATAATATAATTACGCTTTCAACGAATTTAGAAAGTGAACTCAGTATTAAAGACGAAATATCAGAGAAGTTAGATATTAATATCAATCTTATTGTAATATTAGTACATTTCTCAGTTCTAATGTACTTTTTTTCATAGATTGACTTCTACATGGGAATCTATAGATACAATAACGAACTATTGTAATTATATGTCTGAAAGTATGAAAACATTTCAAGAACATATAAATCATTTAACTACTTTATACAATACTATAATAGATATGCAAAAAAATACAGTAGAACGACAAGAACAACAACTCTATGATATGAAAACAAAAGGTATGTAATCTAATCAACATAAAGTATATTACAATTTTTATATTATTAATTAATTTATTAATTTTTCACAAACATAGATGCTGATCATCAAAAGTATATTAGTCAAGTAGAAGAAAATTTAGTGATGCAAGAAAAAAAGTAAATACTGTTTCTTATACATTATATATTAGTTTACATGAAACTTATTGTATATAATAGTCTTACACTTTTAAATATTCTATAGAATACAAGAGTTGATTTCTATAAAACATATATTAGAAGAAGAAGCAAAAAGTTATGAAGAGAAATTATCTTTTGAGAAAAACTATTTAATAAGTCTTCATACAGAAGAGAAACTAAAATTAATAAAAGTATGTTTTCTTATATATTCACATATTAATGTACAATTAATAATAATTCGAATGGCTTAATAATGTTAATAATGTTCATTTCAGGAACATGAAATTGTTATAAATGAAAAGGACCAGTTACAATTATCCATAAAACAAATGGAAGAAAAAACAAAGAATACAGTAGACTTAATTACTGAAAAGGAAATATGCATTACTAAATTACAAGAAGAAATAAATTCTTACATGTAAGTAAAGATAAGTATAAAAAAATATTATTGCATTAATTCCATATAATTTTTTTCTACATTTTATTTTATATGTCAGAAATCAGATAACAGTACTCTCATCTCAGAATACAGAATTAATTGAAAATATCGAAAAATTAGAAAAAGAGAAAGAAAAAGAAGCACAAGAAAAAGCAAATGAGGTATGTAATAAAACTAGAATATTCAAATTTATACTGTCATAATTGATATCAACATATTTATAATTTTAATATAGGTAAAACAATTGTTAGAAGTGATAAGTAAAAACAAAGCAAAAGAAAATGAATTAACTGAAGGTATAGGACAAAAAATGGAACTATGTAGATACCTTGAGAATAATTTATTAGATACTAAAAATAAATTAGAACAAGCAGGAAATACTATAAAAAATTTAAAAAGTAATGAAAATGTTACTATTATAAATCTTCAAAAAGCAATAGAGACTTTACAAAAAGAAAAAGCAGAAATGTACACGGAATATCAAACACAAATTCAGGTCTTTATATATTTTTAAGATTAATTATAAATATTTATAGAATGTTTTATATTTATTTTCTTTATCTAGCATATAAAACAATCTGAAAAAAAAGTTCAAGAAAAGCGAGAAGCTACTTTAAAGGAGGAATTTAAAATTACCACTACAAAAATGAAGAATACAATAGAACAATTAAAAGAAGATATTACAAAACTTCATGAAGCACTCGAAGAAGCTAAAGCTGAAAATAATATGTTGCGGAATAAAGGTTTTGAAATTAAAGAGAATAATAATAAGTTAAAGAAGAGTGTTAGTAATATTTCCAAATATAAAGAAAAAAATCAAACTGAATCTGAGTTAGAAAATAAATATACAAAGTATCAAAAAGAATTAGATTTGGCTGAACAAAAATATAGAAGTATACAAGCTAAACTTGATAAACAAATGGAAACACAACTGGATATATTAAAAATTCCACCATTCTCACATTCTCAATCTCAAAATAATAAAAAGTTACAAAATGTAAGTACTTTTTAAATACGTAAAACCGAATATTAATGTAAAAATAATATAACATTATGTTAAATCAAAAAGAGATGAATATAATTTCAACTAATATTGTTTTAGATAAAAGATAAAGAGGAACTTTTCAATGAATTGCAAAAATCGTCTTCGCAACAAACACCAACACAAATGTTTAGTGTTATAGCAAGTCAAGACAAAATTACGGTATAAAAATACATTTTTATTTGTAGGAACATGATAACTTTTATTATTTACTATATATATATTTAATATTATAAATCATTTATTTCATAATATATTTTTTCTACTAATTAGGAAATGGAGAATTCACCTGGTGAAAAAAAGTTCTTTAAGTTAAGAAATACACAAGTTCGACGATATGGAAATCAAAAGAACAAAATTATTAGAACATAACATATTTGTTTATACACGTTATCATATGCATAATCAAGGAGAAATATACAATTTTTATATTTTTGTTATAATAATATTATTGCACAAACTATTTTGAAGTAACAATTAAAAAAGTCGAGATTTTAATTCAACTTTTTACTCCAGTATCATTGTTGACATTTTTGTAAATCTAATCAATGATAGGAGTAAAATATCTAAAAATTAAGTCAATTAAATTATATTTGCTAATTTTTTTAAGTTAAATACCAACCTTCATTAAAATACATTTAAACATTTGTATAATTCTTTATATAATACATATATAGTAAAAAACATGAGAAGTATTATTTAATATATAACATTTCGCTATATATGCAATAACAAATTATAATAGATGATAATATATTTTTTACAAAAAAACAAAATATTTATAGACATATTTAAAACTTTTGTAAAAATTTTTGTTTTTTTGTGCATATGTAAATTATTTCATTAGCATTTCTAAACTTTCTAAAATTAATATTTACAATATTTATACAAATAATTAATCATTCATCAAAGTTGAAGCACTATCCCATTTCATGGATCTTTCTACAGCCATTTTCCACTTAGAATATCTGAGATCTCGTTCTAAACAAAATATAAAAAGATAATATATCATTAGAAAAATCTTTAAATATTGACAAATAATTATAAAATAAAATATATAATTCTTTACCATCTTCTCCTATCGTTGGTGTAAATTTTGTAACTTGCGATGCATCTATATCATTAATATCAATTATACCAATTCCAAGACCTGCCAAAATAGCTGCACCTAAGGCTGTTGTTTCTACCATATTAGGTCTTACTGCAACATAGTTTTATAAACTTGATATTCTTTTAATAAATTTTAATAAAAAATTTACTTGCAGTTATAAAAAAATATTTTTATATACCAACGCTTATTCCAGTTAAATCTGCCTGAAGTTGCATCAATAAATTATTTACAGTCATTCCACCATCGACTTGAAGTGTCATTAATTTGGTACCAGAATCTTTTACCATAGCTTCTAAAATATCTCTTGTTTGGAAACATACAGCTTCAAGAGCAGCTCTTATAATATGATACTGTTGTGTATCTTCAGTAATACCACAGATAACTCTAAACAATAATGAAATAATAAAAAATAATTCAACGTTTATTATTTAATTCGATTTATGAAATATATACCCGCGAGCGTCTTGTTGCCAATAAGGGGCATATAATCCAGAAAATGCTGGGACGAAATATACATCTCCAGAACATCTTACACTTTCTGCCATATCTTGTGACTGTGCAAGATTACTAAAGAGTTCTAAATTATCTTTCAACCAGGCTAAAGCAGCTCCTGCTACTGCTACTGATCCTTCTAGCGCATAAATTGCTGGTGATTTTCCTATTTTATAAGCAATCGTTGTTATTAAACCTTGAGTTGAATCAATTTTCTGAAAACAATAAAAAATAAATAGATAATATAAAGCATAAATAATAGTGTCCGCAACAACATAATTAATTTAAATAATATGTATACCTACAACATTTCCAGTATTATAAAGTAAAAAACAGCCAGTGCCATAAGTAGCTTTTGCCTCTCCTGGTTTTAAACACAACTGACCTAACAAAGCTCCTTGCTGATCGCCTACACACTATAAAATATGTAATATAATATATTCATAAATACATTCAAAAAAAACCTTTGAACATGAGAAATGTTTATATACTAATCAGTATTAAGAACCATAAGTAACTTACACCTGCGATAGGTATACCAGCCAAAACTTGAGGATTTGAGATAGTAGCATATACTTCAGCACTTGATCTTATTTCTGGAAGAATATGTTGAGGTATTCCAAAGAAACGGCATAATAAAGGATCCCATTTTAAAGTCTCTATATTCATTAACATTGTACGTGATGCATTAGATACATCTGTTATATGCAATTGTCCCTTGGTAAGATTCTATAAAATAGAAAATATCTAAATGTAAACATAAGATATTTAAAACAGGACAAGTAAAAACAAGACTTTATCTTAAATGATCAGTTTACCCATATCAACCAAGTATCAACCGTTCCAAAAGCACACTTTTTTGCTTCAACAGCCTGCTTTACACGTGATATGTTATCAATTAACCACCGTATTTTTAATGCGCTAAAATAAGGAGACATTGGAAGACCACAAAGAGGTTTTAAATAATGTTTATTTCTAGTTTTATTTGGAATACTATCGAGCACATTTTCCATCGTTGTTGTTGTTCTCATATCTAACCATACTAAAGAAAATAAAAACAATATATTTTTACATATTAATTGAATCGTAAAGTAGATAATTATATCGATGAATTATATTTTATACCAATCGCATTATGCAAAGGTTCTCCTGTTTCCTTATCCCAGAGTAAAGTGGTTTCTCTTTGATTTGTGATACCAATTGCTTTGATATCTGATATACTTATGTTGAGATCTGTTAATTTTTCTACTGTTTTTTTTATACACTGTATTACAGCTTGGAGAATCTCCTTTGGATCTTGTTCTACCCATCCTTCTTGAGGATATTTTTGTTTAATTTCAATTTGATGAGATGCCACTACTTTTCTTTGTAAAACGTCGAATACCTAATAGAAAACAGAAAATATTTAAATATTTTAAAAGATTGTTAATAGAATAAGCATTTATAAAAATAAATATTTGCAAATATACAAATTTGAAAATAATTGTATAAAAAAATTGTCTACAAGTTAATTGTTAACTAAAGCATATATAATAATCTATATCGTAAATTTGTTAACAATTTCGATATAAAATAAACATATAATTTTATTATTTAATGAAAAATAATACACAAGGTGTACGTAAAAAAACATTCCCTGTAAGCTTCATTATCTATAATGTACATATATCTTGTTATTTGTTTCTCAACAACATAATGTTCTACACATGTCATTTAACGTTCATCCACGCGAATAATTCATAAATAAACAAAAATCAGATTTTTATTAATGTTTTGAGAGTATTATGAAAAAATAACTTACCAAAAATCTAGCACTACTCGTACCTTCATCGATTGCACCGATAAGAGGCCCAAAACGAGTAATATTTTCAGGCATTATTTTTAATCGTCGTTCAACTTCCTTTTTCGACACAAAACTATTGTATTTTAACCTACATATAACCTTTACCTATTTAATTACGTAACAATATATGTAGGTCAAAGAAAAAAATCTAATTTAATGTAAAATATAATTTAAATATAATTTAAATAAAGGACGCAAATTTTTTAATAGTGATATGTAATTTATTTTCTAAAAATTATCAATCGTATACATATATACTTATGCTACAAATGCAACGAGTAATCACACTCTACATATGCATATATATTCCTGCATGAAAAACATATTCGAATAAAATCTTTAAACAACGTTTCTACATATTTTGCATTATATAGGATCAAATGGGTTGAATTATTTTACGGACATAGATCAGTCATAAGATAATAGACGTGGTGATAATACCTAACTCTTTTTTTCTTTTTCTTTAACATACGAAATGTTCAATCTCGTAAAATAAAAAAATCCTACAGATGTCATAAAAAAAGTATCGAACTTGACTCCATCGATAAGATACCGACGACTCACTTATCTTTCTCTTGCGTACATTTTCCTCCCTCTAGAGGTCGCTGAGTGACATTTTTAATGATTCTCAGCCACACGCATGCGTATTGTAAGATATATACATATATATATTTATTCCGTTTTATTAATTTAAAAAAAAATGTGTATAAATAAGAGAAATTAATATAAAAGATTATATATCATATATATAATTACTGTTCAATCATAGATATAATTTCTAATTTCTAAAAGAACTTATTAATTGGAGTTAATATATACATATACATATACATATATATATACATATACATATATATATATATATATACATTTTCAATAAAGTAATTTCGAAGAAATCATTAAACGTGAATTAAAATAATTTCACTTATACTGCGGTAACAAACTGAAAATTAAATGCAACGATAAGACGACTATCATTTTTCTATTATTTCTTGTGATGACAATTATATTTCATCCTTAGAAAAAGTATTTCATATATTAACATTTAAAAGAAAAAAAGAAAGGAAAGAAGAGTTGTCTGTTCACTTGTATAAGTGAAGTATATTACACGACCAATCGTGATTGTGTATTTTTTTTTCGAACAAGATCTTTGATTTCCCCACTTCTCTCTCTCTCATCGAGATATTAAAAACTAAAGACACTAAGCTATACAACCGCGTTCCTATATAAGGTGTTTATTCGCTCGGAGAGTCGATATCGTATCTGCATTCTAAGGAGTAAAGATATTCCTAAGAGCAGAAAACGAACTATAGTCGTGTATTATATTGAGATTACTCTATCCTATTTAATAATTCATATCATCATTTAAATAACAAAATGTCCAGACAATTTTACCAAATCGTTGGAATTCTCGCGTGTTTCCTTACATTCGCCGGCATTTATGGTAAGTCTTCCTTTATTAAATCTATTATACAGTTTTAAAAAATTAGAAGAATTCAATTTACTAAAACTTTTTATGCTGACTTAATTCATTAATTATTAATTGACTCGTCATCGAGTTAGTTATTAAAAAATAATTTTTAATGATTAGTATATAAATATTTTTGCAGTATTTAAACCTTGTATTGTACTTAAATATTCTACTTCCGGTTCGATATACACATAACTATCGTTTTTAAATCAGGCCAAGTATTTCTTAACTGAATACTTTAACTGAATACTTAACTGAATATTTATAAAAGTATAAAAATATGAATATATTTTTCATATAATACAGATGTCAATATTTTCCAAGAAACATTTAACCTCATTAAATAACTGTTGTATCAATGATGGAAAAATCCAATGTGATGCTAGTTAGATATGCGAATCCTATCACGTTTTATAAGGAATCGCTTGGTGTCAACGTCAGTTTTAAAACATGCGGTTTTGCTTTAACCTTGAATGTTTAATACTAACATGTAGCACATATATAAGTGTGTACCGGATATAAAATTATATATGGTATATCTTTCTGAAAAAATTTATCCCTTTTATAGATAAATCTTTTTTTTATTTACTTTTATAAGTATTCAATGACATATATATATATTAAAAGTAATAATAGAGATCACAGTAGTCACTGATAATTTTTTTAATAAATTTACTATATTTTCACCATTTCAATAGAAATCTACCTTTTTCATTGATTAATATGTTTTTTGTTTTCTATTGAAATATTTGGTTAAAAGTAATAATATAGATTAATGATTATCGATAATAATAATCATAAATTTATATAGATCTATTCATAATTAATATTTATACGATAGTATAATAATACAAAGTGTTTCTGGCACAAAAGATAAAATAAAATAATCCATAATAAAAATCATCGTAGATACAGTGACGTAATCATATTGTACAATATACTTCTCGCCTTTTTTCCACCTTGCCGGTATCTTGTCGTCATACACAAAATTGGTCATAGTGAACGAAAGTATAGTGAATAGGGGAGAAGAACAAGGACGAAGAGAGCAATGCGTGTATATGATTTATATACTACATATACACACATGTATACCTACATAGAGATTCAGATGATTCGTCACACGTTTCTTCTTTGTCATACATGCACCTACACGTATGTCATTGGTGCGACTTTACATTATCATAATTCATAAGTTTTCGTATAATCAGGATATGTAAGGATCACACTTGAGTGTCTATAGGTCCCTCTCCCATTTGTACTTTTTTAAAAATAGATGTCTTGTGATGTCATGATCATAAATTTTTATCATAATTTTTACAATACGTAAACAGGATTGTATCAAAATTTGTAGGATGATCAAAAAGTTGTATCTATTTAAAAAAATAACCTGAAAAACTTTAATAATTTCATGATAATTAATAACATCATGGTCAATTATGTGATTTTGTATCAAAATACATTAAGAAATATTTTTGAAGCCTCATAAAAGTTTAATGAACTACGATCGATCATCAATCCCTCGATTCTACTTTTATTTTTGCTGAGACTATTTATTTTCAAAGATGCGATACGATCTTCAACTTGTCTTAACTATCAGTCCTCGTCTTACCAGATCCGCTTTCTTTTTTTATAGACTCATCTCTATATAAAATAATTCCTTTTTCGATGAGGATTCTTAATGGAATTTAAATTTTTTCGAAGTGAAAAAAAATTCAATGTTCCTACCGGTTCGAAGATTAGAAAACAAGAATATACCAGACGTAGAATTTTCAGAAACGATACGAGGTGATAACTTTGGGAAGATAAAAACCAGTTTAACCAGATTCGGTCTTTGGATTTTATTGAACCACTTCTCATGTTCCTATCGTATTTTTATAATTAGTGGAAAAACTGGATGCAAACGATTCGCTTATTTGTTGTTTTTGAAGTTCAATATCACTTTTGCAATGCACTTAAAATATATTTTTATCTGAATAAAAATATTATTCAAATAATATTTTAAGTCTTGAGTCAACCTGTATAATAAAGACAAAAAGGAATCTCTTTAGAATGCAAATATTTATGCGTGGCTTTTTTTTTTAGCACAAAATACGTCATCAGTTTCCAAGATATGTTTAGGATGCATTTGTGAAGCTGCATCAGGATGCAACACGACGCTCGGTTGCAACGGTGATGTATGCGGCCCTTTCCGCATAACTTGGGCTTATTGGGCTGACGCCGGTAAACCAACTCTAAACAACGAAGCGAATACTAATGAAGGCGGTCAGTAAATATTTTATAATACATATTTCATATACGTATATAAATACATATATTTCAATTTGTATTATTATCGTCTTATGTATAACTTCTTTTTATATACAGCATATGCAAATTGCGTTAACGATGCATTTTGTGCTGGACGCACAGTAGAAGGTTATATGAACAAATTTGCTCGAGTAAGTACTACGAATAAATTTTTATATTTATTTTTATATTCAGAAACGATATATTACAAATTTTTATTTTTGTTATATTTTATAGGATTGCAATGGTGACGGTGTTATTAATTGCGACGATTTTATTCGTATACACCGTAATGGTAGAAACGCTTGCACGACTCCATTGAATAGTAAATACGAAAATATTTACAAGCTTTGCATGCAAACGTTCGGTTAATATTTTATACAAATTGATACAAAAATGATAAACTGATATTATTTTACATGTAATGTTAAGGATAACGATAAACGTTTCAGGATGTAAAATTCGGACTTATTATTTTTATAACAATTTTAATTATTTACATATACACTAATTATTATGATTATTTATAAAAATCCTTAAAATAATATTTTACATTCGCGATTAATCAATAGTTTTTCAACTTGATAAGCTCGTTGTTTTATAAGTGCACCTTCTACTTCCATTATTTTACACGATTCAATATTATGAATAAGGAAATGATTTATAAAGAGTCTAAGACTTTCTCTAAAAGTTTGTAATAAAGGAGATAAAGATATCCTTTCAAATACTTGTAGACAGTCTTCTTCATTCTTGCAAAGAAAAATACCTATTATAATTTGCCTCACAAGTTTCATCGTTTGTTTGTTCAATTCAGCAAAATTCAAAATCTATAAAAATATTTATTATTTTAATATAAGTATGTATTAAATATGAATGCCGATACACAAATATTCAGCATTACCTTTAAAATTGAAATAGATAAAGATCTCTGAATAAATAAGTGAGTTAAAAACTTGGCTAAGTTTGCTAACTGTCTTACATCGTAATTATCTAATATTTTTAATTTGTCCCACAACATATACTGTATGGTCAACTAAAACATAATATTAATAACAATAAATATATGTATTTTTAACTTGTATAAACTAAACTTTTTATGCTTATTTTATATATACCTGATATTTCCTGTCACAAACACAGAATCTTTCTGCTAATACGGCATAATAAGGATTAAATTTCTTTTCTTGCAGACAACAGTCCATTAAAACATATATTATTTCTCTTTCTTGTTGATCTGTTAAACCAAGATGAGAAAGTTTTTCAAAGGCATCTAAGTAATCTTCTGCTGTCATTAAAATACAAAAAATATTTCTTCTAATATCCGTATTCATTCTTTGTTTTCGTGCTAAATCAAGAATATTTTGACTGAACATTGCTTTGTTTTCTTCCATAACCTTTTTTCCTTTATCCAAATTTCTATTACCAGACCATGCACATCCTATTATCCACCACTTTCCTCTTTCATCAGCTAAATATATAAAAATTTTAATAAGTTTTTTGCAATTTACTTTATAATTTAATCATAATTCGATATAAAATAAATAATTTAAAAATTACCTTTTAATAAATCTTCCAAAGAAATATTTAACTTCACTATACTTTTACCCTTGTGTATGAAACTCTTCATAAGCTTTTTTAAATGCTCTGTATGAGATGGATCATATTGAGGTATCTTGCTTACATTATTATTTTTTATCGCCATTAAA